TTAAGAGAATGCAACTATATATCTATCCCAACCACTTTGAATACACAGATACAAAATGGACATTCATAGTTATACCCCAATTTTTTTTAAGTTCTGTTGTTGAATATTATAGGTGTGTAAAAAAAATTATTAAGTTTATTGGTACTATTAGATATATGTAATCATCACATTCATTCCCACATTCCCACCAAATTCCATATAGGGAATTTATACCTGTACGTGCTAAGTCTTGATTCCTTTTTTCCCCATTTCTCTCCCTTCCCTTTACCTCACCTTTCCCTCCTTATTTACGAAGTTTTGTTTCTATTTTATTTTATTCTTTTTTGTTTTGTTTTGTTTTGTTTGTTTGTTTTGTCTTTCGGAAATAGGTTTTCCTTATGCAGTTCAGGCTGGCCTTAAGCTCACATTGTAGCTGGTCTTGAGCTTGCAATGATCCTCCTGCATAAGCCTTCCCAATGCTGGGATTACAGGTGTGTGCCACCCTGCCCAGCTTTATCCTTTTATTCTTATTTGGATTTACTTTATTTTTATTTTTTCTGGTACCAGGGATCAAACTCAGGATGTTGAACTTATCAGGCAGGTGCTGGTGCTGCTGAGCTATCTATCTCCCTGGCCCCTCTATCATTTTATTCTCATTTTTTTTCTTTTCTTCCTCCACCTCCCTAGTTCCCCTTTCCTTTTGAATGATTTCTATTTCACAGTATCTGTTATACTTTTTGATTTGTATTTATACTTTCAGTTTCTCACACCAGACAATGTGATATTTACACATTTTCAGATTTACTGGAGTATGGTCTTGGGCTGGTGAGATAGCTGAACAGTATAAAACGCCTGCTTAGGCAAGCACAGGGACCACAGTTCAATTCCTGGCACCCTGTGCCATGTCAGCTCCACCCCCAGGGCAGGCTGAGTTCACCCCAACCAAAAAAAAATTATAGTCTCAAGAGCCATCCATTTAGCTATAACTGTCTCAAATTTATTCTTGTTTATAGCTGAGTAATACTCCATTGTGAAAAAAAAAAAGAAAACCATCTTTTTTATCCATCAGTTGATGAACATTTGGGTTGTTTCCATGATTTAGCTGTTATAAACTGTTGCTATAAACATGGGTATGAATATATATATATATATATCTTTTTGAGGAGTCTCCACACTGATTTTCATAGTAGTTGCACTAGTCTACACTCCCACCAGCAGTGGAGAAAGGTCCCTTTTTTTCCCACATTCCCACCAACATTTGTTATTGGTTGATTTCTTGGTAATGAGATGGGATCTCAGGATTCTTTCAATTTGCATGTCTTGAATGACCAGCAATGTTGAACATTTTTCCATATATTCATTTGTCATTTCTCCTTCATCCAAGAAGTATGTATTCATTTTATTTTATTTTTTTTCTTTATTTTTTTTTAATTATTTATTTATTTATGGGGGGGCAGCTCAGCCCACCAGGGGGCGGGGCTGGCTGGCATGTGGTGCTGGAGGATTGAACCGCGGTCTCTGTGCTTTAGCTAAGCTTGTTCTAAGTAGGTGCTTTAGACCACTGAGCCATCTCACCAGCCCCTATGTATTCATTTTAGATACCCATTTTTGGATTGGGTCTTTAAATTTAGGGGGCCTGATTTGGTTTTTTTCAGTTCTTTGTATGTTCTAGATATTGGTCCTTTGAGGAACAACTAGCTAATTTTTTTGTATTTTTTAAAGGGGCACTGTGAACTAATATTCCCCCACCCCCAAGTTGGGATGAAAATCTAGAGCTTTGTACATGCTGGAGAAGTGCCTTACCACTTAACTATGCCTTTTTTTTTTTTTTTTTTTAAGTACAGGGTCTACAGGGACTCACTACACAGATCAGACTTGTAGTGATCATCTTGTTTTCAGCCTCCCAAGTATTGGGATTATAGGTGTGCATCCCCACACCCAATTTTTTTTTTTTGTTTTTATGTTTAGTTTGATATTGAAACTGTCACAAATAAAACATTTTTGTAGGGAAGTGTATTAATCATTAATTAAATGCATGCATTTAGTCCAAACTTTGCAGAAGGGGAAATTAGGTTCAGTGATGCTTCAGTGTAATTTTGGTTGATGATACAACAACAGTTTATGTTTAAGTATTTACATCATATATTATTGTAGAGTTATATATCACCTTTTTGAAATTCTTGCAGATTGTTTTAGATTATGTATACTACTTTTATCTGCTGTTGAAGTGAGCACATGGCATAGAACTTTAAGCTTAGCTTCCACTTGAAATATTGCTTACCTTAATTTTAGAGTTTATTTTAGAACAACTGCATTTTCCTAAATCTGTCAATTTTGTATAGGTGGAGGATGAATACCGAGCCTTCCAAGAAGAAGCTAAGAAACAAATTGAAGATTTGAATTTAACATTAGAGAAACTAAGGTCAGAGCTGGAGGAAAAAGAGACAGAAAGAAGTGATATGAAAGAAACTATCTTTGAGCTTGAAGATGAAGTAGAACAACATAGAGCTGTAAAACTTCATGATAACCTCATTATTTCTGATTTAGAAAGTAAGTGATAGCCAACTTTTTATTTACTTTTGTTCTGTTCTTTTAAATATAGTTACTTTTAGCAAATTACTCTGACTGGCACATAGTCCAGAGGCAGGCAGTAGCACATCTGGCTTGCAAAATATGTATATAGGAAAAGTAAAATTTACACATTATATGGGCTTTGAACTGCTGTGTTTTGTTCCTAAAAGACTGTTGGATAGAATCATTACCATCTCTAGCCTAAGGTACAGACTTCTGTCTTTCTTTGTTTGTTTGTTTGTTTGTTTGTTTGTTTGTTTGTTTTTATGGTACTGGGGATTGAACTTAGGACCTTGCACTTGTCAGGCAAGTGCTTATTCTACTGAGCTAACTCCCCGGTCCCTTGTTTTTCTGATTTGTTCTTATTACCAAGATTTTATAATAGGATGGAATTGAAACTCAGGTTTTAAATGTTTTGTTTTTTTCTTTTTTTATATTAAAAGCTTTTCTTAACTTTAAAATTTTCTGATTATTTTACATTTATAAAACAGTTGGCAGCCGGGTGTGGTGGTGCATTCCTATAGTCCCAGCTATTCAGGAAGCTGTGACAGGAAGACCCCTTCAGGCTATAAACTTGAGAACAATCTGGGCAACATAGCATGACCCCATCTCAAACAAATGTGGCAAACATAGTACAAAGTATTTCTATATAGAAGTTTTCAAAAAGAAACCAGATATTTACATGATCTTAAAATATTTTCCTATAGGGGCCAGGGATATAGTTCAGCAGCACAGCAACTGTCTGGCAAACGCAAGGTCCTGAGTTCATTTCCCTGTACAAAATAAAACAAAAACCTGTAGAATTGTTTATAAGTTGCAGTGGTAGGAAAATTGGACAACACTTTGTGTACGCATGTAAATGATAGGCAAAAACATTAGTCACAACCCTGGTGAGCCTGTATTCTGATCACAGAAAACCTTAGGCAATAAATTAGGAATTCTGCTAGAAGCTGAGGTATTGAGAGTGCCATGGTCCTCAAAAATGGCAATTTTGTAAAAGAAGAAGGCTATGGAAATGTTCTAGATTAAAAGAGGGTAAAGAGATGTGATAATTAAATGTAATACTATGTCTAGACAGATTCTGGTACTGCAGAGGAAAAATGCTATGAGGAACATCACAAAATTGGGTTTTGGGTAGCACTTTATTTTTTTTTTTTTATTTTGGGCAGTGCTTTAGATAAAGATCCTATTAGTATAAACTTAGGAAGTTGATTATTATGTTTATGTGAGAAAATATCCTTGTTCTTAGGAACCACCTACTATTTAGAGGTAAAGAGCCATGACACATATTCTCATGTGGCTCCAGAAAAAACCTCAGACATAGATGTACAGATATAGAAATAGATAGCAAGTTAGTAATGGTGGCACACACCAGTAACCCCAGCGCTCAGGAGGTGGAGGCTGGAAGATTGCTGTAAGCTTAAACTATGTAGTGAGACTCTCTCTCAAAAAATCAGGGGTGGAGAGGGAGATATAGTAGTTGGTAGAACAAATGGATTCTCTGTTAGCAGTAGGCAAACCTTAATAAGTAAATATGTGTTACATTTTTTTGTATCTTCTTGTAAGTTTGATGTTTTTTCCAAATAGTACGTTAAAAAATTTTCCTAGGTATTTCATGTGGGTTTGTCGGATGTTAACAGATTTTACGTTTTAATTTGCCAGATGGGAATAGACAAGGCAAATGGGGGCAGCCCTTTTTTCCCCTTTCCCTAAGATAGTGTCTTGCTCTGTTGCCCAGGCTAATCTCAAACTCAGTTTTCTTCCTGCCTTAGCCTCCTGAGTACTAGGATTATAGTACAGATGTGCACCATCACACCTGGCTCATCTATAACATTTCCTGATGCGTAAGTTATAGCTTTTTAAGCCTTTGGTGTGTTGTGACTGCTCCTTTGGACTATTCATCTTACTGTTCCTTGACAGAATATTGATTGGCAAATAGAGCATTAAGCCAGATTCCCTACTATCAGTGCCATAGGCAGGAAATTCGAGCTACTGTCAAGGCATACTGCAGCCATCCTCCACGAACATTAAATGCATCTTCGGGTAGTTCTGAGTTTCAATTCTAGTTGACTTAGCTTCTGTGTGTTTTTTTGTTTTGTTTTGTTTTTACAGAACCAGGGATTGAACTCAGGCCCTTGCACTTGCCAGGCAAGCACTTACTCTGCTGAGCCATCTCCCTGGCACTTCTTTGTTATTTTCCCCAAGGTTTTTTGCATGTTCAGAGGCCTCTCTAAATTGAGGTAGTGAGGGTCAGTCAAATAGCTCAGCGGATTGAAGTGCCTGCAAGCAGGGGCAGGGGCAGGGGGTTCGATCCCTGGGCCTGCCCTGCCGTGCTGGACCTGCCCCGGGGCTTGCTGAGACAGCAATTGAGACTGGGTGTGGTGGTGCTTCTGTAATCCCAGCTCTTGGGAGGCTGTAAACAGGTGGATCACTAGGAGTCCAATCTAGTAGTGAGACCCTGAACACCCTGTAGACCCTTCCCTAAAATACAAAAAAAAAAAAAGATAAAAATAGATTGAGGTACTTGATTATGGAACTGCTGGAGAGGACAGTAGTTGTTGAGCTAAGCTTTCTAATCTGAATTTGAAAAAAACATTTATATCTAGTTTGAAGTTTGAATTGATATGACTTATCTAATTCTGCTTCTTGCACAGAAAAGGTTCTAGAGTTTTCAGATTTAGTGCAGTATCCACAAAGTATATGGGCACTATTGTGCTTGTCACCAACTTTTATTTTGAATGTAGGAAGTGTGACACCTTGTGGTAATTGAGATAATAACTGGAAAAAAGTTAGCTGATCAAGATTGCTGCAATGAAATTTTCATTGTTAACATTATGTGAATTTTATTTTATTTTATTTTTTATTTATTTATTTATTTTTTTAAATGTATCAGGTATTTAATTAGGTTCTTAGTAAGAAATTTAGAACACTAA